TTGTTTGTCTGAACCTATACGTATTTAAGGTTGTATATGTAATGTTTATGACAGCAAAATAAGTAAAAAATAGTGAAAAATCTGAAAAAAAAAAGTTTTTGGGAGGGACTATTTTACCCAAAACACATGTACCCCTACACCATAAATGGATTCAAATGAACAGATTAACAAGACATTTTTGGACAAAACTTTTTCATAAAACGACCGTAAAACAGTATCTCAGGCATCAGGCAGCACATTCATAACCATTTTGTGTAATAACTTTGTGATGCATTTAGGGGCTTTAACTTATTGGACATCTGGTTCCTATCACCACCCCCGTTAACAATTTTGATTCGGTAAGTTTCTCTGGAACAAAGCATTTCACATCAAACTACTCTGAATGACTTTGTTTACATCTTAATCATTTGATTATTAAGAAATTTTGAAAAAATGGTGGATTTCTCCTTTAAGGATAAGGAAACATGTCAAAATCGTTGCCCAGTATAATCAAATATACACTACAGATGCAGCAGATAAAGATTCAGCTGATAAATGCTAGAAAAGAACAATCCATTGAAAAGTCTGTTAGGGAACCAGAGTGAAGAAAGATAGAAAGAAAAGTAAAACCTAGAATGTTAATGGAAAAGAATGGACTGGCCTTGCCAAAGGTCACATACACACACACAGTCAGCGCCTTGTTTATGATTATTGGCCAGGCCAAGCACAATGCGTGTTTGTGCAAGTTAATGAAACGCCTTGGATTGTTATTGATTAACACTTTTGGAAAAAGCACCATGAATCTGTTCCTGTACGGTTGGCAGTGCAAGCACCAAGAGAGCTAGATGAACCTTAATAGCAATTTAAATAGGAAAGGCTCGGTCACATGGCTTGATCTCCACTTTGTGTAATTGGTCCTTGGAATTATATTTCATTATAATTCATTACATTTTGCCCTCCAATTTTCAAAATTGTAGTCAGCCATGAGATATCTGAGGACAAAACGTGAATTTTAATGCCTGCTGGACCATCTGTTATGCTAATTGACTGTAGAATGAATTGATTACATCTAATTTCCAGATTCTTAACTAGATTGTGGGATTACTAACTAAATCTGGAATGTGATGTATGGATGGTGTCCTGTGGGTTGTGTGGTGCAGGCTGTTCCACCAATTTTCATATATATATATATATATATATATATATATATATATATATATTTTTTTTTTTTCCAGTGAGATCCTATCAAGAGAGTGCTCTGTAATTTCATTCTTTGTTCAGGGGCAGTATTTGAGCAATATGTTAAGCGTGAAGTTCATGCTTTCTGTGGACTGAAGTCTCTGCCTTGTATTGTTGGCTATTACTCATTTTGGGGTCTTTTGAAGACACAGTGGTCTTTTCAGTAAATACAAAATGGCTTTTTATTGTACTTAGTCTATAAATCTGTCCCATTGTCTGAGGAGGTTTGCATAGACTGTGGAAGTTCTGCATCGGCATCATGCTCATATTAGGAAGTCCAGGTCCAAATAGTTTCTCTACTTAGAAAAAATAACAGCATTTTCAAAAATTGCCACTATGGCATCCTGTGCTAAACAATGTTCAATCGATCAATGTACTGTCACTGGGGCAGTACCCCTCTTGTCACTGGGGTGGTAACTTCAAGGGTACATCTCAGTACCTTTAGTCAGGGAACATTATTGTACCATAATCCATTGAAATTATATTTTATAAGTTGTATTGTCTCCACACACCCCGTCTCGTCTCCAGGCTTTTTATTTCATTGGTCTGTTTTAAAACATTAGGTTATGAAAAAGTACAAATATGTGCTTTTCACTGGGAAAAAAATGATTTTAGGTGCACAGTTGAACCTTAAAACCACTGTTGTGTACCTTTGAGGGCACACTTACATTGTTTGTACTTTGATGAACGAAAAATGTACCTGCGCAGAACCTTCATTTCTAACAGTGTAGGATCCTCTGAATTAAGAGGTTGTTAAAGAGTCAAACCAAGTATGTTGCTGCATGCAAGCTAACACTTCAACTAAAAACTGGAAACTTTGCGAAAATACCCCCCATAAACCAGTAAACTTTGCCAAATGTTGTGGTTAAATTGCTTTCGCAGTACTAGCCTACAGTTTGAGTAACTGGTGTTGAGTGTTAGCTTGCTTGTATATTCAAATTACACAGGACACAGGACAAAATGTACTGGTATTGGGACCTTTTTGTTTATCACAGGGTATGAGAGTGGCAAATTTTAAATAATTTTCCCCCTAAAAATTGGATCCAGAGGTCATTACATGGGCATGAAGGCAACTACAGACTGACGACATGACTTCAGAGGTCTATTAGCTTTGTATTTGAATTTGCTTGTCTCGTTTTTCAAAGTAAATAATTAACATAAAAATAAAGCAAACAATGTAAAGGTTGGCTTTGTTAGCTGAGGAGACATCTGTAAAAATCAAAACTCTGGTAGAACTGACCTTTAGATTAAAGGAAGTGGCCTAGGATATGGCTGAAAAGAAACCAATAGCCAATTAGTTCTCCAAAATGAATAGGAACATCTGTGTAATTGCTTGATATCAATAACCAGATAGCACAGTGGTAGCGATTATTCCTTCATGGAAAATTGATATTGGTATAAAGTTATATTTATGAGGGGCGGTGTGTGTGCATGTGTGTCTATGTGTTTGTGTGCTTTCCTGCAGAACACTTTTTTAATATACAAAAATTGTGTTAGTGTATTTCCATGCAAATCCCACATGTGCACACAGAGGCACAATCCTGCTAAGAGAAAAATCTATTCGCCGCTGCTTTTAGAATAACATGAGTTATTATACGCAATGAAATCATAGATCATAGCAATCAAAAAACAATATTTTAAGAGTTTGTACATTGATAGTTCTCAGGGCCATTAATATGCATTTTAAAGAAGCATGTGGACTGGGGAGTACTATAATTTGGTTTGCCCCATGTATTGCAGAGCGAAAAAAGAGGCTGCATATCATATTGCAAGCCTGCTGGAACTCTGTTTGCTGTGGGGATTTAGTTGAATTTATCCTTTGTAGTTTCGAATGTCTAAAAATAGGCATTTTTATTCTGTGAGCAGCCCAGGATGGGCTCTCTCCTCGTCTCTGATCTTTGGCCAGGGCTCATGTAATGCTCCTTAATGTGCCTATAAATCACCGCCGGTCAGCCTGTGCACGCAAGAATGTAAAGAATTCAATGCAGCTTCCATCTATTTTCCCCTCTCTTCTTTTCTTTGAAAGTCTATCTATAGTAAAGCATTGTCCCTGGGCACTCATGGGGAGATTTCTCTCTGTCCGCAGCTGATTTTCTATGAATTAATTACGTATTGAATTAAATGATGGATTTAGGAATGTACTGGACCTATTATGCTGCTCTTCTGTCCGAGCCCCCTTTAGCTGAAGCAGTGATATGTCTGAATTAGGCCTGACCTTCTTTAGTGCATAACATGGGCTCTCTGACTGCGGCAAAACCCCGCTGCGATTTAACAGGGTGGCTAATATGGGCTTCAGGCCTACTGTGGCTTAGCGGCTTGCTGTGAAGGCAACTGCTTTGAGCAGGCGCAGTGACCACATTTTTGCAAAGGATAGACGTCCAGTGCTCTGCGGTGTCCCAGTTTTGCTCTTTTCTAAGATTTTGTTCATTAGGAAACGCCCCAAAAATACAAAAATACAAAACTTCTATGATCTTGTATATCAGGAATCCAATGGATAAAACAAATGGGGGTAAATATGATTCCAGTGCAGCCAAGCACTCAATAGAGTGTGCACTCCTTTTAGTTGCACGAAGGGGCCACCGGGAGGCCAGCTCCTGCTTTGCATAACGAACACTGCTGCCTGGTGATGGATGGTAAGCAAGACACACAGCAGGGATGTGCTCCAGTCTCTAGCGGCCACCAGAAAAGAGACTACAGAAAGGGCCATTTTTTGGTAATTTTAGTTTTTATACGCATTAAAACAGTTAGGCCCACTATCAGTACTGGATTTATTCATTTACTCTCTTGGTAATAAGTCACCATAGAAGGACCACTTTCACATTCATTAAAGAACCAATCTTTAAAGAACCATTTTTGTCAGTGAGAAGAATCTAGTTTACAATAACCTCCACATGGTATGAACACTTTATACCACTTAGTTTTTTTTTTTTCTTAGAACTGGTTGTCCGAGCCAAAAACCATTAGGCAACTTCTTTTTTTGCAGAGAACGCTACTGTTTACAATACTTTCAGAGATAATGTTCTGCACCATGTTTTGAATTTTGAAACTGTATCCTTATCATATTGACCAGATTCAAATTACTGTGGTCAATTAGGCCCAAATCAAAAAATGATTTATCGCCTCGTTTAAAATGGAACTGAAGGCAATATTTCTGAAAAAAAGAGTAGATTTCTTGCTATTCCTTGCTTAGTTTATAAAATGACTCACGATGACACCTTAATTAAACATAATTAATCAAAATGAGCTATCGCCCACACAGCCCGGCGCAGGGCCCACGAACGTTGCCCTGTCGACGCTAACTTCACTGTTATGTCGAAATACTTGTGAGATGTGAAGATAGAGTGTCTGTTGAAGAGAGAGAGAAAAAACAAAACAAAAAAAAGCCCAAAGCTGCGGGTCTTATCTTGTCGTGCTCCATTGAGGAAGAGCAGGTTGGGGGGGGTACAAGCAGCACCCCGGCAGCGATGACGTGTGGCTGCACCGCTACAGAGGGAGAGAGAGGCTTGTCCGGATGATTAATGTTGGTGGAACGGTAGGCGGGGGCGGGGGAAGGCATGTATGTATCTATAGATTGTTTTACAGAATACAAAATACACTGCTGCTAAATGCAAGTATTGTGAAGAAACTTCCAAAGTCACCTTAAAGCGAATGCACAAGCCTATTTCTTTGGACTAACATCTCTACATCACTACAACAGGGATCACTGCAAGGATTACATTGAGCAACATTATGCTTATGGACTTGCATGCATTTATTCAATTTATTCAAATTGTATTGCATTTACATAGGAACACAGAAACGATCACAGATTGAACACTTTAAAATGAAAAGCCCTTTCTATCTTCTAATGTCTAAAAGTCAACAAATGACAATTTAATTAATGCTTCTTAATGAATCTGGACCTGTATTGAACACTTGAGGTAGTTCTTCTTTAGATTTACCATCACAGAATCAAATAATGCTAAATAATATGACTATTTTATGTCATATAACCATGTTATATGTAATGCCTTAGCATGTTATTCACATGTCAGCCTAATTACCCATCAAGTCACCAATAACAGAATACAGGGTACAACATAATAGTAATCGATGCAGAAGTAACACAATACCTTATCTGAGACAAAACATTGCCATATACACAAAGTATTCAAAGATTTATACTGGTTACACGAACATGTATTGGTGACATGAAAGGTTCCTCTCAGTCTCAAAAGTCCATCTTAGCTTTTGCGTAATGGTCAAATGGTTAATGAACCTGCATAGTTTGAAAATCCAAACCTTTCTAACCCTGCATCCTACAGCATCATTTCGAAGCACATAAATATGGGCTGACACAAGCCTCCGACAATGCATTATCTTGCCTTATTTCCCATTAAAGTTAAAAAATGAATGCACTTGTTAACGTTAGGAGGATTCTTATGCTTTTTTAAACATGGTGTTTTCTGTGCTCAGTAGATAAACTCTCAGAAGTGGGCTTACGTCCACGTGTAATAAATCTCGGCTCTTTTCACAGAGTCTGCAGCAGCTTATCCACAGAGGAAAACCTCCCTGCTTTGCTGCATATTGGCTGATAACATGTAATTCTCCTCTGGCCCTTCGCCCACGACAGTGAACTTGGCTCTGTGGTTCTTCCAAGTCAACGTTCTGCCTGTAAATCAGCTTCTAAGGGCAACAAATCCTGCCTCTCCTCAAAGCGCTGGCAGCTGGGGAGGTGTGTTTAATCAGAGTATGGCATGGGCATGGGCAAACTGTCAGACAGAGATACAGCTGAAGGAGTGCTGGGCCATTGACAGGTATGTTGTGTAGTGCAGATGGGCTGCATCACATGTATGAGGGTTCAGGAGGTACCAGGAGGCACCCCTCGTCTTGCTGGTGCAGATAGAGGTCAGAGACGGAAGCTAAAGGTGAGTCGTTGGGTCTGGACGCTAGTTGAGGAGCACTGCTGAAGTCCAGAGTAATGGGTGGAGCTGCCTTTGTAAGCAAGAACCAGTCTTTGTAGGTGGTTTGACCATAGCTGCTTTGAGTACAGTTCAAGAACTTGAGATGCTCTTGAGCTTTGACGTCCATTGCAACACCAGCTTCTGCAGAAGATGATGCGCCCGCTGCCTGGCAAGAATAAGATGGCCACGCTGTTGCCTTCCCCTTGTGGTCCTTCTTGTACTTCATCCGGCGGTTCTGGAACCAGATTTTAATCTGTCGGTCTGTGAGCTTCAGCAGCGAGGCCATCTCAAGTCGCCGTGGGCGACACAGGTAGGCGCTGAAGTGGAACTCTTTCTCGAGCTCCAGTAGCTGAGAGGAGGTAAAAGCTGAGCGTGCACGCTTCCTGGCAGATCTGCTGTCATTCTTCCTCGCCCTCTCTGGAGAACAGGCCTCATCGCTGGCACCTGGGAGAAAACAAAGAGATGGAGCTCTAAAAATACATCCTGTCTGAGTCCTCTTGTCTTAGTATATGTTCTTAATCCCAGTGGAAGCGTTTGGAAATCCCTTTGGAGAGTCTCTGTCATGTTCTGGTTTTAGTTCACCAGCTGTTCCTTAATGCACAGTGAAGCTTCTTTAACATTATTTGGTCTGCATGAATGGAGACTTTCTGCACTGTTATAGATTTATATCTGTATCTACTTTTGAATGGTCAGAACATCCACACTTATGAATATCCCAGCAATTACCCACTCATAGTGAAAGTCATGTAGCATGAAGGAAAAATAGGATTTGTTAACTAAAGGTTTAATTTAGATTGGATCACAATAACTACATAACATGTTTGGCTGTCTGACCTGCCACTGTTCAAATACGGTTACATATCATTGCTATTGGAACAAAACCTTGTATCTCCAAAATGGTGACTTTATAGGAGAAGGAAAGAACATTCTTAACTTGTAAAGGAAGATAATGTGGCAAGATTTTGGACCACTTCTTTTGGTCCATTCATTATGAAATTTGAACACAATGCAAAGGGTAAGTGGAGTTTTCAAATTAGGTAAAAAAGGAAAAAATAATGGACACACAAGGTTTTTGCGCGACAGCAACGAGATATTTCCAAGAACCCTTGCTGTGTGACATACATATATTAAAAAAAAACATGTATTTTGATATTTAACTTTAATGAAATCATCTTTTATAATTTTCAAATGACAAATAATGAGGATATCATGTTTCAGGTTGTGAGGGGTCCATCTGAAAACATTTACCATGGACGAGATGCATTATAAATGAGAGGGAGATAAATATATATCATGGTTGACTGTGAAGTGTTTATGGAAGCTAAGTAGTAAAGTATGTTGTTAAGAAATCAGATCTTTCTGTGAGGGGCCCAATATTGCTCCTGTGTCATGGATCCTAGTATGACTGCCAACCCCACTCACCCCCCTCCCCAACTGGGTCCAGACAAATAGACATTTTCCTTAAATGCTGGTGACAGTTTACAGTGAGAACACTGTCTGCAGCTTGACCTTCAAATTAGTCCTATGCACTCACTTCAAGGTTTTTCTATGCAACCATTGATGTACATTAATTTAAAGAACACTTCATTTCATTAACAGAGTGACTTGGGTGGCAATTGTACACAAAGTGTCTGCTTTTTTGAGCAAAACTTTTTTAGACAAACAAAGTTATGTTGGCTAATTCTCTGATCACGGTCCTAACACATCAGGAAATGTATGTGGTCCTCATGTTCGAGGGGTTCATTTAGTAGTGCTTCTTTTGTAAAACCTTTCTGCTTGTCCCTGCAATAAAAAAGTTGGGTTCTGTCTTCTGTCTGATTCCCATATAAATCATGTTGAATGCTTCCGATCTAGTCACGTTCAAAATGCTGAGCTATGATTTCATCACCCAGCTTATGCATGTTGGCCTTTGTCTGAGAAAACCTGACCTGCCATTTCTACTGTACACAGAAGAATGTGTGAAGATAATTCAAGTCCTAACAGGATGAACAACCTCAGCAAGCTTACTAGGCCTTTGTTTAATGAGAACTAAAGGTAGTAATTTCCATAAAATATTAATTCCTGCGCAGGTTCCTGCTCTGTTTTTTTTTCTCCCTGAAGTTGAGCAAATTGAGTATTTTCACTCCTATAAAACACAAAAAGTAATCTTTGGGGAGCGAGCAATACCACAAATCAAAATCCCTGTACATTTCAGAAATGTTTAATAATTGTGTTTTTAATTATTTCAGTGAGTAAGAACACTTAAGCATTCCATCGTTACTTAATTGCCTGTCCCATGTGCTCTTCTGTGGCCATACATTCAAATATACTGTTTTTCCACGCAGCGGTTTTCTTAGAATGGGAACAAATCCATCTCACGAATTCGTCTTCTTTTCTCCAACTCTCTCAGTCTCCTCAACAATAACCCAAGCAGTTAGTGGTCCTCATTCATCTTACTGGACACTTATGAGCATTTTGTTGAACATGAAATGAAGCATTACAGTAGTCTTTGTTTTCTGTTGTTCATTATAAATAATGGCCTTATGCTCACGGTTGTAGCCAAAGTGAACATTTTTGTCCTACTTTTGGAGCTTAAACTTACAAGTGAGCAAAAAAAATCTACACATGGCTGCAGATCACTGTACTTATTGAAGGAAGAGGCAAATTAGCATCGATTCATTGATAAAGAAGTGTGATTAACAGCTCAGCCCTCTAATGAATTACTGCCTGTCAATTAGCTGCCAGTGCATATGTGACTAATCATACTGAAGCCAAAACCAACCTTATTGACTAAAAGATGAGTCATAGATCAGATTCACCACTTGAATGCTATTAATGTTTTCTTCAGCAGCAAAGTTTTCAAACCTGATTGGCAGAAGTTAGCTGTGCCATGGCTTGGAGTAGACTGCCTTTCACTCATCCAAGGGTAGGTGGTCTTGCAGAAGATAGCGCTTGTTCCAGTAGTTTTCACCAAGTTGTTCACCTGGAGTCCAATCCCCATCGTGTTTTGGGCAACACCAGCACAGGGTATGTGGGACTTCTGAAGGAAAACAGGGTCCCACACATGGCCTGCATGGTGCCCAGGCTCCATCGCAGAACTGCCTTCCTGTAGAACACATGGAGAACAGTGTTGGACCACGGAATTAAGATGAAGAGGCTTGAGAAGTGTTTTGGACACAGAACTATAATCAGTGTTCCTCTCTTGGTGTGATAACGTTTGCATTTCGAGCTGCTTCTCGTCTAATTACTCAAGCCGGATTATTAATCTTTGTAAAGTAGGCTGCACTCACACGTATTTAATAGTCTGGCAGCACGGGTGAACCCCTGAGTCACGTGGGGCCGTCCTCCAATAGCCCGGCACATGGGACGATGCTCGAGCAACTTCTCGGCGAAGGGAGCACAACGCCTCCGTCTCCATGCTCCTCTGCTGCTATTAGCTCCAGTGATTAACCTGTAGACAAATAGAGGACGGAGTAGATCAGAGAGTTTAGAAACTACCATGTTTGGGGAAGAGTGAGCAGAGAGAGGGTGAGAGGGGGAGAGTGAGAGAGTGAGAGAGAGGGAGAGAGAGAGAGAGAGAAAGAGGGAAAAACCCAAACGGACGGAGAAAAATGGAGCGCGTGGATCTGGGATCTGGTCTACCTTTCCTTGTTTTCAGCTGTGGATTGCAGAATGCTAAATGTGCTCTCGGTGAATTTGAGCTGAGGTCTGATTCAGAACAGTTTTAATTACTCATACTGTTGTGGTAGGTATGCTGAAATACCAATATATGTTCCTAAAGTACCGTTATATCTTTGTTGTCTCTTGTTTTCTAATACTTTCTTCATTTTTCTTATTTAATTCTGTAATTTCCTTCAAAATTGTACTGAATTGAAATGAATCTGAATTAAAGATCGTTGTTCTAAATTGTTCGTGTCACATTTATCGTTGCGGCTGTGTGAGGTGATGTAGACTAAATGATGTGGACTGTTTTTGTTTAAAATAATACATGAAATTTATTAAAATGCCATAACACTTATTAAGCCACTGGGGCGCCTGTTTTGTGTCCACCGACTGACTTGTTTGCGCTTATTTTTAAAAAGATATTACTATTATTTTTTTAACCTAAAGTATCTAAAACGTCAATGGCATTATTGGGTGTGGCCAAACAAAGGGAATTTGATATCATTGTCAGGAACAATGCACAAAGGGGGAACCGTTAAATGAATAGTAGCCGATATACTTTACCGTGACAAACAGTGAGGTTCAAACTTTTGGCGCCAGAGTAAAGTTTTTTTTGCTGACTACGGGCTGATTCTTCAGTGGATTTTTTTAGGGCGATTTTGGATTGAAATTCGTTAAAAACAAAGCCCTGAACAAAGAACCTGAGCTCGTGCAACCAAGCGATAACTCAAAAACAGATACTCGGAGCAACGGTTTTTGCTGGAAAGCCACTGCATCCAGGTTCCCTTGTATGAGTCATTTAGATGAATGGGATTTAATATTAAAAAATAGAAGCATATTAATCGCTTGAAATTGAAGCCCTCTGACGTCATGACGCCCATTCAAGGATGAAACCTCCACTGCATTACTTACTTTTGGATTTTTAGGCCTTTACGACACATTTATGTATGTATATGGTCCCTGTTCACAATTACGAAACTTCTATTTAAGTGTTTATTTATTTGAATAAAAAGCTGCTAATCTAATATAAGTACCATTAAAAGTGTAAAGAAGCACTGAGCAGGATTGGAGCTCACACAGCATTCTCCCTAGGCTGGAAAAGCTCTGTTGAAAGCTCCGCACAGTTGCTTCTCTAACTTGTGATTAATGGAGGCTCTAACCTGCTTTATCCCTCCTCCTCGGTGTGGAGTGTTAGCACCGGCTCTCAGAGCTGCCGAGCTAGTTTAGGCTTCTTTAAGAGCACTTAAATGAATAGAAGAGCAATTTTAAAGGTGATTATGTAAGTAAATGTTTTTGCCAGTAGACATGCCTGCATTAAAGACTGATAGACACTACTGCATTTCTCTTAGTCTCGTAGACAGACTATAGTGCAGCATTCAGAAGGGGAGCTTTGAAAAAAGAGAAAAAGAGGAGGCGTGTCGTATTTCAGAGGGCCTTACCATGGAGCAACTCATGCAGCTCAGCAAAATACCCAGTGTTGAATCAACATTGGGTCCCACTGGGTTTAAACGGGAACTACACCGATTTTTCAAATTTTTACATAATTCCAAAGTCACAGTCATTCAGAGTGGTTTGATTTAAAATGGTTCGTTGTAGAGAAAGTTACAGACTCAGATTTCCTTACAGTGGTAGATATAGGAAGCAGAGTCATTAGCACAAGTATAGCCATTTTATTTACAATCCATAACTACCAATGAACCCACGCGTGTGGGTTATATATACGTTTTTATATATAATTCAGATGATGGCAAAATAGTGTAAAATCTAAAAAAAATATATTTTCTTTGGGGATAATTTTGCCTTACAACGCCCTATACATACCCCTCGCCCATGAATGGATTAGCTTTTAGGCCAAAACTTTATCACAAAACTATCATAAAACAGTGTGTCCGGCATCAGACAGCACATTCACAACCATTTCAACTCTTCAGACGTCTGGTTCCTATCACCACCACTGTGAGCAATTCTCACTCAGTAAGTTTCTCTAGAACGGAGCATTTCGCACCAAATCACTCTGAATGACTCTGTTTACGTCTTAACAGTTTAATAGTGTGGAACTTTTGGAAAAATTGGTGGGGTTCCCCTTTAAAACGAACACAGCAGGTGTTAATGAGGCCTAAGAACTGTGGGTTTTCATTCAGATCTGGAGATGGTTGCTGTGTTTGCTGTGCTCTCTGTGGCTGAACGCGGCGGCAGATCGCCTCAGCGCGCGCGCAGCCTCTCTCGGGGTGAAGCAGCGCAAATCCAGCTACTCCTAATTTCCCCGCGAAGCGATTCTTACTATTTATTTCATTTCGAGCACGCGGTTTTCCCCAGTCGGAACACAACAGACCATTCATAAAGCCTTTATTAAGGGAGAATATGGAGAGAGAGAGGGGGAGTCGTGCCCCTATCCTCTTCATTTGTAACTCTAAAATCAATCTTGTTTTAAGAACGATTTGTTATTTAGAGTTCAGTGAATTGCTGTCACAAGGCTTGTCAAATAGAAGCATTCACTATGCATATTACAAGTCCGGCTTCTGCCGAGCTGCAGCGCCATTAACATGAAATATTGCTGCGCTCAAGTGTGCAGTGAATGCACGCGAAGGCCTACTCATTCCACAAATGAATTAAAGACCCAACGAGATGCACTTCATATGACGCTACAGGATGTAGTTCCTATTATTATTATTATTATTATTATTATTATGTGTGTTATTGTAGCTTGTATTGGTTCTACTGGGGTTATAGCACCCATATACCTTCTATCATACTTTTTACTAGCTCCATAGATCTATTATTAGTGTATAATTGTAGTCTTCTTGGCTCTACTGAGGTTATAATGTCTATATACCTTTTAACACACTTCTTAGTAGACTTCATCTAGTTCTATTATTATTATATATACTATTATTGTTATTGTTGTTATTATTATTACTATTATTATTAGGTATATTATTGTCTTTTTGGCTCTGTTTAGGTTATAACGTCCATATTTCTTTTATCCATTAATCTAGTTCTATTATTATTATTATGACTATTATTATTATTGTTATTATTATTATTATTAGGTATATTACTGTAGTCTTCTTGGCTCTATTGGGGCTATAACGTCCATATACCTTTCATCACACGTCTTAGTAAACTCCATAGATCTAGTTCTATTATTATTATTATTATTATTATTATTATTATTATTATTGTTATTATTGTTATTAAGGGTATATGGACTTGATACCCAGAATAGAGCCAAGAAGGCTACGATAATATATCTAATAATATTATTGTGTAGCCTTCTTGGCTCTATTGGGGGTATCAAGTCCATATACCTTTGATCACCCTTTTACTAGACTCCATAGATGCTTTTTTATTAATATTGTTAATATTATTATTGTTATTATTTTTCCTCTTTTGACTGCAGGTCATGATGGTAATTTCCTAATTAAGGTAAGTTTCTGCCCGTGTCTCACGCCGCTGAGCCCATTCAGTGGATCTGAAAAGGGATCTTTGATGTACTGGCTCAGCACGACCATAACTCAGCGCCTCCGCGAGTATACTCCAATTCTCCGTGAACTCTGTTTGAACCACGACGCTGGCAATAAATCATTTTTCTTTCTCTCACAAAAGCGCGCCGGTCGCTCTGGGTGTCAACCCTTTTATAATTCCTCCTTACCTTCTGCGCTCTTGTGGTTGCTGACACAAACAGCTGCATAAAACATCGATAAAAAAGCCCCCACGCTTAAAGATAAAGCCCTATGCAAAAGGGCTGAAAATGAGAGCACTGGCAACAGTGGCAAAACCAAAGCAAAGCACCGAGAGCCGCTCTTCCTGTGAGGGCAGGTGGGTGGGTGGACTTTCTGTTGCCCTGTCCTCTTCTGTACATATTATTATGATTTTTTCCCCCCACCACATTTCAATAAACAGACTTTTCGCAGCCAAGAGTCGTTTTACGTCTTCATGGGAAATAAATCGGCCTGTCATTGTTTTTGTTCGTTTTCCTTTGCCCCATAAAAGCAGTGAATCTGTCTTTCTGCCCAGCTGCTGCTGCACAGCTCGCACTACATACCCGGATGGCTTTCCTCAATAACAGCATTAGTAATCTGTTAATGTTTTTCCATGGAGAGGACTGGAACAGATAAGGACGAGAGAGAGAGAGGAGGGGGGGAGAGAGTCTAAGAAAGGATGTTAATGGGCAGAGGATGTTGTCGGTTATAACGATGCATACAAATTGACCTGTCTCTGAAGAGCAACGAGAAGATTTATAGCATCAGTGACCTGCATTGCTGTAAACAACGAGCACCTATATGAAAGTGTCGGAGTTTGCAGAGGACGTTCATATTTACAAAATTAAGCCACATATTGACACACTGGGGTCGTTTCCTAAAACTTTTGGGAGTCGTTCATGCCGGAGGAGCAACATCTGGATTTCAAGATGGTACCCCAAGCACAGGTTGAAACCAAAGGGAGCCCCATCAGGAGGGCAGCACAGTCTGCTGAGTTCCCTTCTCTAGCTCACCACCTGCTAAACCTGCTAGTTAAAGGGGAATTCCACTGATTTTCAAAGTTTCTGCGTTCATTAAATAATTAAAATGTAAACAAAGTCATTCTTGGTTTGATATAAACGCGCCATTCCTGAGAAACTCAAAAGTCAGAATTATTTACAGAGGTAGTGATGGGAACCAGACGTCCAAAGGGTTAAAGGGGAATTCTGTCATTTTTTAAAAAGTCTGAATAAGTCAATCGTTAAGATGTAAACATAGTCATTCTGAGTGGTTTGGTGTGAAATGCTCTGTTCTAGAGAAATGTACC